CAACCACTACCAAAATGACATGTGTACAGAAACTATGAGAACCGTTTCTCAACCAAGAGACGTCTCTGCTTCTCTTTCCTCATTTTTTTCTGTTTATTATTTTTTAATGATAAAAAATGGTTAAAAGCGTACCGTTAATCATGTTCTTAGAGATTCTTGTTGGAGATCCGTTTTTTTCTCTTTCTTCTCTTTTAATTATTTTAATTATATTATTGTTAAGATACTTGGTTAGATATTCCTATTGGAAGTGTCCTAAGAGCAGGACTGGCCCTACGTAAGAGATTAAATCCTAATTTTCTTATATACATGACCAAAATATTGATCGGAACGAAACATATATACTTACCTTCGAGACATGTGAAAAAAACCGAGTGTTGTTGCCATTTTAATGTTTTGGCCAACCATGATTTCTCAATTTAAGGATGAACATTTCAACCTAAGTTAAGGTTAATTTAGACTTTACTTTCATTGTCCTAATTCGAGGTGTGAACATCACTAACCTTGCATTGAGCCCTGATCTCATCAACTGCAAACAAAGGCATTCCTTGATCATCCTTTAGAGTGATGAGGGCATCGAGCCAATCTTCAACACTTTCTTTTCCGCCTTTCTCCCTCCACAAATCCATTCTATCGTGGATAATCGGATCGTTGCACCTGTTGATAATATCGACCGCGTTTCTTACCTCCGCCTCCTCTCCTTCAATGTTCCATCCTCTTAGAAAAGGGATGTAATTCGACATGTTATAGCTGAAAAAACAATCAATAGCTCGGTATATTGCGTCGATATGCTCTTTTTCTTTCGGTCCAAGACCACCTCTGTTATCGTTTGCTTGTTCAAAATGCCTCCGACGAAACATCATCCTCATCATCACAGCATGGCAAAAAATACCCGTGATGTCTCTCACGTTGACTAGCGATCCTATTTGGCATAGATTAAAGACGTATTCGACTATATTATCTGCTTCTAGGGTTCTGTCACCGAGGGACTTGTTCAACATTGCCGGAGACATTAGTTTGGTAACCATCATTTTCTTCATTAGCTTCCATCTCTCTCCATATGAAGAGAAAATCACGTCCTTATAGCCTTCGCTTATGAGATTGCTCGAGTATGACTCTATTCGATCAGTGAAAACCTCTTCAGTGTCTCTAACCACTACTCGAGCAACCTCGCTTGAGGTTACGATGATGACGTGGACGCGTGCGATACGGAAGCAAGCTATCTCGGTTTGCATGGTTTCCATGACGAGGTGGAGCCACCGGGTAAGTAGGCCGGTTGATGCTGACGTGGATCAAGTTTCCGATGACAGGCCATCCCCGTGGGCCCGGAGGAAGCTGACATTCTTGTGTCGTGGGCCTGAAGTAACGTATAGCAAAAAGGAGGAGGACAAGCTTAAAAGTAAATAAAACAAGTGTGAAGCTTGATGGATCTGAAAATTCATGTTCATGTTCATATGGTTTCGTTTTCTGCTTTCACATATAATAGAGACTGAACATAGAGACAAATTGTAATAATTTTTGAATTTAACAAGGTTCCAAATAAACTTGTGACAAGATTTATTAAGGAAAACAAGTTCTCTTGCAGCGTCGCTTTTTCTTTGGCCGGTGGTGGGCTAGTGTTATTTTCTCCACATGGAATGAAAGCATCCTCTACCTGAAACCTCTAAGCCTAATTAATCAACCCAAAAATAGTACATGGATAAGTTACTTTTTTTTTTGCTAAAAGGTAAATATTTCATTGAACATGAAAATAGTTTAGGTTTACAATGTGAATTATAATGCTAGAGAATGTCGATGGCAAAAAAAGTAAAAATATGGAAACATATGTTGATTTTCTTAATTAATTAATGTAAACATAAGTCATGCCATATGATTTGAATCATGGTGTAGACGTATAAAGGAGAATCCTTGTACTGATGCTAATGCTTTATAGCATATTTTGGTCATTAACTAATTACAGCCTCTTCGTAAATCTAAGTGAAAACTTGTATTCAAAAATTCTCGTTTTAATAAGCCGAAAACATTTTATGAAAAGTTAGAAATTCTCTTTGTGGAAAGTAAAGCGAGTGGATGACTCGAGACTGAACTCCTGACAAAGTGATTTTAGAGGTCGGACAAGCGCTGGACTTCCACAGTAGAACACACCTGAAACCATTCAAATTAAGATTTATTCCAAATGAAAAATATTTATAAAAAAAAAAACAAGGCTATTTTTTGTTTTTGACACTAAGAAGTTCTGAACCTAAACTCCATACATCCCCTCAGCAGAGCATTTTATATGGTCTCCTCTCAAGTGCCATTTGAACCGACAATCTCTAGGCTTTGTCTGAAATTCTTTTACCAGTTAAAATAACTATTATCATAAGAAGTTACCTAGGCTAGTTTATTTGAAATTCGTACTTTTTGAAATTTCTTAAATAATTATGCAAACAAAGTACTTATTATGCAACTAGTTAACTCATGATTATACGTGGAATGAGAACTATGTACACATAGATATTTCATTTATATATAATTCACTCAAAAGATTTTGCTACCAATATTAAAGACTGTTTTTAAAAAGTTAAGAGAACCAGTTTACCTATCCGAGAGGTTTCGTGTTTGCTTGACAATTCAGAAAAAACCTTCCTCCAATTAGGTCTTGCGAAATGGGTTCGTATCTGAATCAGGTGGAATATTGGATATGTATTTTTCATTTTG